ATCTGAGGCTTGCGATGGCGTGATTTCTCCACCCACGCCGAAAAGGCACGCTATGTATGAACGTGCAGTTGCTGCATAGTGGTGCGCTTAGCCTTCGTAACTTCGTTTTCGCGAAGCTGCCTACCCCTTCAGCCGTACTTTCAGTGTTTCCGCGCCTCTCGCTTCTTTATTTGCTCGTCTCAGTGCTAACAATAAAGCAAAAAATAGGGGCCCTATTTAATGCGTTTGCGAATGGTTTTCCTCTTTGACCTCCACCTAGTTAGTAAATACGCACTTGCTTATCTGTTTCACCCCACTATCCGAAACTTGAAAAATCGCAAGATGTGCCTTCAATGACATGGGCACGATTGCTGGGAGAAGAGTGGTTATTGCCAGCGCCATTGGTAAGGGCTCAAGAAGGGGTTTGTTCAAACTGTCAAACGCTTTGTAAGGGTGTAGTCGACTCCTTTCCACCAATGGCGCTCGTAACAACCGCCCGCCTCCAGCAATCGTGCCCACTGCCCTGAATTTAAGTCAGGAGTGAAATCAGGTCTCTGTATCTATTCTAAAGACTTGAGCAAGTCTTTTTCAGGAGCCTCAACTGAAACCAGCTCCTCTGGATTACCCACTGATATCAAAGTACCCTTGTGGTGCTGATGCCGATGAGAAGTGCAAGGCTAAATGGCAACGCCTGTTTGATGAATATGGTAGAGGAACGACAATGTACCGGACAGTTGATCTTCATCGACTTTTGCTAGAAGGCGTACCGCTGGACCTTCGTGGAGAGGTGATCAACTTTTTTTTAAATCTTCATTTATCCCTCCATTACGTGTGGAGGTCCCCGAGATGTCCCAATCTTGAGCAAGCAGGGATATAGAAGAAAAACAATAATAACCAACAGTAAGAATAGTAAAAACAGTACATAGAAACAGCCACAGACGGGTTAAATAGGGGGCTAGAAGGAGTACAGCTATTTTTGAAGAAATACAGCAGACCAAGAAATCATGTTGTTCTATTGGTTGCGCTGGCGATTCGGCAAGATGCCGGGAATTCCGGCATGATGCCAAAGCTATGTGATGGGAGTGGGATTCTTATAGCACGGCCGCAGGAATGTCTTCGATCGTAACGCGCGGCAGGCAAAGATTGGCGCCGGTGATCCCATGTGGAGTCCTAACCTGCACCCTGGATACAGTGCACATCAGCGTCTTCGACCCCTACCTTTTTTGACCTCACTTCTTCAACGTTCCCATCCCAAGGGATGAAAATTATATTTTTTTTCAAATTTTTTCCTGTTTTGTTCACCTGGAGTGTTAACCAGGAGAGATTCCGTGATAATCGAATGGGCGGACACTAATAATCATTGTCCCTTACTCGCTAGTGCACAAAATCTTGATCCAGAGGGGCACCAACAAGAACGACGCAGTGATTGTTGGTCTCCGCCCATCATATCATCGCGGAATGTGGCTTTAAATAGAAAATTCCAGATTTGGATGATATGTTCGGGTGCGCTTGCGGAAATGAAGTTACATCCTGGCTACTATGAAGAGCTGTTACGTAAGCACGAATCCGTATATACGGTTGCATTGGACGAGATTGAAAGGGATTTGTATCGGTTTGTAGACTGCAGTGAGTATAAGTACCGTAACCGTGTTCATTTACTGTACTTTTTGCAGAAGTCTCCCAGAACATCCAGCATTCCAAAACAACGAAGGTATCGATGCGTTGCGTAGAATTTTGACCGCTTATTCGTTTAGGAATCCTAATATTGGTGGGTTCTTCTTTCTAGAGACCCTTGTGAAACATCCATCCTTCCAGAAATATCAATACTATCTATACTTATTGAAGCACCCCATATCCCGGGGATAGGCAGGGCGTGGCTGCGTATTTCATTTGAATGTGACGATAACCTGGGGTTCTTGATGGGATATTTTCGTTTTGAGACGATTGTAATCATGTCTTTGCCCACCACAAGGCAAAGGTTACTGTTTGCTCAAATGGAAATATTCAACGATAGTATTGTCCCACGTCGTGTTAAATCGAAATACGTAGCCACGCCCTCCCTATCTCCGGAATTTGGACTGTATTAATGGTTGTTTTCAGGGTACTGTCAGGCTATGAACATAGTGAGCTCTGTATTGTTATTGTATGTGAAAGAAGAAGAGCAGATTCTGTGGTTTGTTAGTGGCGATATCGGTGAACACTGTCTATCCTGATTACTATTAACACAAAGTCGTGCGTTGCCTGGCTGCGTCCAAGGTCAGCTTTCGAGTGTACGCCGGCCGTATCCCGATTGATGGGATATGTCCTGGAGGCACAGTTCGGCTTGGAGGTGGGGCTTCATTGCTAGCGAGCATCTGCCAGGCTTCCGTAGGAGCTGTGAGCCCTGAAGCTAATGCAATGCGCCGAACATTCATCCACAGGTATGGCACGGAGTTAGCACGGTCTCACCAATAACGACATGCTAACTAAGAGAAATGACACGTCACACAAGGACAAGGAGATCGATCGCAAAATTACCAACCCCCCCCCTCTATATGTCCCCAAGCCCACAGCCACACTTGCCTCTCGCAAATCTTCCGAGCGATTTCAGTCAAGCCAAACTTGTGCCCTGGTTTGGTTGTTCATGGACTCTAGGGTGGAATTGTTCCAGGTGTTTTCTCGGCAATTAGTGATGCACAACTGTCTAACAACGCGAGTGCCCAAACTGTCACAATTTAGTCTTAGGAGACATGGTGGCATTGTCGTTGCTCACCCTATCCTGGTCCATTCACCATTTGTTTCCTACAGCCTCGCCAAAGCTAAAATTCGGACGCGCCGACGCCGCAGTTCGGATATTGGACCTGTTCTTCTACGAAGGAGCGAGGGTAGGTGTAATGAGCAATATTTTCTCCTTTTTTTGATGGACGATGAACTGACGGGACTGATTTTTCGATCTAAATTGCATTATTTTCTGTTTCAGTTGATGTTTCAAGTGGCTATGGAAATGCTACGCGAGAACGAATCGATCATCTGCAAATCAAAAGATGATGGTGAAACCCTTTTGGCGTTGTCAGCCTATGCAGATCGTATCCATGAAGGAACGTCTGAAGAGAGTGGAAAGGTGGGATTCAATGATTAATGATGAGTTGTAGAGGGATCCCCAGTGAGGGGGGGTCGTATTTTATCGTTGAAAGGAAGGGGTGGGTCGTATTCGCAGTGGGGAAAATGCTCTCGATTTCCCGTGTTCCTGTAGATAGGGGGAAGCGAGGGGGAGGGCGGGTGCGAGAGGAGAGATTTTTGAGGAGGAGGGGGTCTTATCTTTCATACTTGAGCATATGCCTTCCCCTCCTGCTCCCTTCCCCGTCAACTGCGATTCCTTTGGTTGAAAATTGGAGAAAAATGAGGAAAGACACCTCTTTTGACCCCATTCTTTGTTACTGTCGTAGTCCTCCTTCCTACGTCTACTCCCTTCATCTGCGCTTTCGCGAGACCACAGGGATATCATAGTTTTTTGTACATTGCCGTGACATGGACAGTTTATTTTCATGAAAATATCCCTTTAAGCTTTTTTCGCTTCAGATCTCTGTGAGTGCCCTATTGACGAATTCGTATCGCAACTTTGGTTATTCGTTCACGAATGAACAGATCGAAAGGCTACGGTTGAAACATCGTCTAAAAGTCGTGCAGGTTTGCTTTCCCGTCAATGATACGTATAATATTTGATTTATATAGAGTTATCGATACTCAACTATACAGGGGGGGGGGGCAAAAAAAGTCACTTTTCTTCATTGACTTTCGAGGCGCTATAAGTTACACTTTATTAAATTCTGATCGGACATTTTTACCACCATATTAAAGAGCATATCAAATACTATCATGACACTCCGCCACAGCCTTCTGGACGAGCGCCATCGAGAGATTCTGGCACGCGACCGTGAGCCTGTGACTGAGATCAACGAGATAGTGGATTTCTCCGCTACCGTAGACCACCCTGTCCGGGAAATTGGCAGGATTCAGTTCAAGTG